TGGGCGAGCAGCTCGTGGCCGTTGTCGACGCGGAAGGTGCGGCGGCCATCGCTGAGGATGTCGGTGACGCCCGTCATGAGGACGACGGCGCTGTGGGCGCGGGCGACGGACTGCACGACGGAGGCGCGCTGGGCGAGGGAGAGGGTGGAGTCGGAGTCGACGCCGCGCTGGGTTACGGATGCGCCGTGGAGGGTCTGGATCTCGCCCTCGTTGCCCTTGATGACGGCGAAGGAGCCGGCGGCGAGGAGGGTCTTGACTGCCGAGCGGCGGACGGCGGTGGCTCCGGCGCTGTTGGGGAATCGTGTTAACGTGGGGACTATTATAGAGGTTTGGAATGGATGTAGGAACGTACCCGACGGGGTCGAGGAGGACTGGCCCGCCTGCGGCGTTGTAGGCCTCGAGTGCCTGGACGTAGTTCTTCAGGCCGTCTGGGGTGACGGTGCCCATGTTGATGACGAGGGAGCCTCCCAGCTTGGCCAGGTCGGCGGCCTCCTCGGCGTAGTTTGCCATGATGGGGCTTGCGCCGACTGCGAGACCGACATTGGCGGCGAAGTTCTGGACGACCTGCAGATAGGTTAGCAATTCAGTCGTTGTACTAGGGGAAAGGGGGATACCGACAAGGTTGGTCATGTTATGCGACAACGGCGTCTTCTTGGCTACCGCCTGGATGACATCCGGGACCTTGGCCGTAAGGACCTTCGAGCTTAGCTCTCTGGCGGCGGCAGCAGGGTCGGCGGCGGCGATGATGGCGCTCACCACGGCGACGCCATCCAAGCTCTTGGCCGGCGCGCTGCTCTGCGTCATGACCTGCTGCGTGTTGGAGATGTTGATGCCGCCGATGCAGACGGTGGCGATGGCGCCGTGGCCGCTGGCAGCCAGCTGCGAGAGGATTGTCCGCACGCCGCTGGGCCCGATGATGGACTTGGTGTCTTTCTTGGTCTGGGTAGAGTACACGGTCCCGATCCCCAAGTAGTCCGCGCCGGCTTTGGCTGCTTGGAGGGCCTCCTCGACGGAGCTGGCCGTCACGCCGATGATCTTGCCGGGGCCGAGTAGCTCTCTGGCTTGCTTGATGTCTGTTGTCGTATGTCACCTAGTTAGTGTATAGGCCTAATGGAGATTCTTGTGACATGAGAGAGTATAAACGAACCTAAGTCATCCTGGCCTATGTGTGCCTTGGTAGGTTTGTCAGTCGATATATGCTCCAGCTCTGAAACGGACAACTTACACCCTCGCAACCAATCTCGGCAGCGACGTCAACCTGGTCGTTGATGAGAAATGGGACTTGGAAGCGTTTGCAAATATCATGGAGCTTCTTGGCCGTCTCGACGACAACGTCCCTTGACGAGTGCTTGTCTCTGTACTGAACGATGGTAACACCACCCTGTAGCGCAGCCTCGACGACTTGGCATAGGTCCCGGTCCCCCAAGATTCCCGGCGTCGAATCAGTGACCAAATACGTGCTGTAGTCGACTGGTGCCGCCATGTTGTATGCTTTGTCTCCTTGAGTGCTCGTTCTTCCGGCGCTGGAATGAGGTTCGGGTGGCACCACGCTGTCACCCCTCACTTCTCCCGAGATCTATCTTTTCTCAGGAGAATTAGCCTGATCGATGGCTATGGAATCAAACCTTGATTGATGTTCAATTATGATTAACCGTTTTACTCTCGAGAATTTTTTTTAGGGAGGGGAGAGCTAGTTTGAGCAAAAGACGGCCGATGGTCGGAATTAGGTTGTTGCTCTACCCAAATGAGGTATATTATCAACATATGACGATATTTTTGATAATCGTAACTCAACGCCCAGCCTCGGAACATAACCGCCATTTAATAAGTGCGAAGCTTTCATACTTAATGAGACCACATTCTGTAGGGTGTTCTATTATCATAGCTCCTCTCATCTATATATTTTGGTCCCCAGTTGATGAGTTTGGAAGTGAAGGATTAATTTTTGGCTAGCTTTGTGAGATTGCCAAGTGGTTCATTCTTCTCTCGATACTAGTTTTGCTTCCTAGAGCTACGCCATTCTTGTATAGCCTGGGGAACCCATATTGTTCCTCCCTATTGCAGCATTGGGTGAATCTTTGGGGAAATCCTCTGCTCGTTGTGCCTGAGCAAAGCCTCCTGCTTATGAAAGCACCAGTGAAGAGTACCACTCATGGGTATCTCGACATATTCCGCGTCTGGTCCATCGTTTCCCCGGGCTGGGCCGACCGTGCAGAATTTGACCCAGTAATGCTGGAATATGAAGCGGATGACATCAGTTGGGAGAACTTTGCAGCTTTTCGTGAACTCAAGACGGGCTTCTCCGAGGCTCTCCACGTGCCCATCTTGATAGCGCAGTAGAAGCCCCGAGGTGTACTTCTCGGAGCTAGACGGGTTGCCGTTGTTGAGTATCCGTAGGCATTTTGTCACTTCAATGACGCCGTCGAGCACCGCGGAGGAGCAGTGATGATGATGACGGTGATGATGATGATGAGGCGGATGAGGCCAATCTAATGTTGGATGAGCCTGCGACTGAGTCTCATTAGCCCTGGCGGCCACATGCCCAGAATCGCTACGTCCAAATCCAAGACTCAATGCATAGAGTTGTGTGTCGTCAATGTGTTCGAAAAACATCCGCTTTAGACCTTGGCTTGAGCTATGGACCAGCTTCCACCGGGTACTTTGGGCATGTCTGGCCGATCCGATCTGATGAAAGCGCCCCTTACTTGTTTTGAACTATGATTCTGGAGGTTAGATATAACGCAAAGCGGAAGACGTGGGATAAAGAGCACTCTCACAACAAGCTGCCAGTTTGTGTAAGACGGCTCCGACGACCTCAACTCCGGCAGCGGAGGAGGAAGGCCATTGTTCGCATGGGTGACGGAATCCATTGCTGCTTCGTTAAAAGCCCAAATCTCAGTGATGACCTCCTGTGGCTCCAAGGGGATGTACAGGCATATTATTTGACCTGGCGCCTTTCTATCAATCTCCCGATAGAAGATATGACTTTCTCCTGGCAAGTGTGCATGGATATTTATGATGAAGCGGCCACGAGCGCGACCTTCGCCGTTCAGGTAGACGGCGAATGAGAGCCCAAGTATGTCGGGACTTTGTAGGTCGACAGAGTCCATTCGCCGTGGATGTCTGGGGAGATGTGATCTCGGTGTCGGAGTTTTTTGAGAGGTTACAGATAACAGCTGGTAGTGATCATATTTGGCTGGCGTGGGCCACATAACGTTTGGACTGGAATGAGCACTGACACGATTGAACCTTTCAGATTCGAACGTTAAGCAGCGTAGTTTGACACCCTGAAAGCTACGTCAAAACACAAGGCAACCGGGAACAGGGGTTTAGGAAATACGTACATCTGTCTCTGCGACGACAAATGGTCCGTCTCGAAACCTCATTGCTTGCCACCATATATCCGGCTTTTGTTCAATATCGGGCCTGGACGAATCATCCGTGAATATAATCCTTCGGATCCCAAGGGCAGACATTTCAATCAGCATTGTCTGTGAAGACCGGTATTGCTTGTTACTGAACATGAGCTTCCAGGTGCCCTTGAACACCCCGTCGAGGATGTCAAGAGTCGTGTTGGAGAGCGCTCGGATGTATGTTTGACCCTCAAAGTCAACGTATTCGGCCCAGATGTCCTTTCTTAAGTCGAACACTGTATCCCGAGGCTCCTGTTTGGCCATTAGTGTTCTGAGCTGAGTGGTGGCATAAGCGGACGATCCATAGCCCGCAATTTGATAAAGCAGTTCCGCGGGTAGTTTCCGAATGCACCCTGCAAGCACTGAAACAAGATCTTCTTCTATGAAAGCATGTCTCCGTCGACTATCAGACGTGGTGGGTTTGAAACCTGGCCGTCTGACCTTCCAGTAATCGACCACGGTAGGATATGCATTACCAAACATAGCTGGTGACAGTATATCATGACAAGCTCTGTGGCACACAGGGGCGCCAGGGTATTTGTACTCGCACCTGGGGATTCCAGAGAGGCCGCATGCGCAAAAACGTCGCTTGTTGCGAATTGCAGGAAGCTGGGGCTGACATTTGACCTCCCATTCGGGCTTATTACTCAAGGTGAGAGAAAGCCTTGTTACCACCCAGGTTATGCTCCGTTCTTCACACCCTGTAGTTAGTAGACAGACAAGTACATATGTATTAATGACACTATAGAAGTATTGTAGCTCACCGTCGTTGTGTAATATCCGATCACTAATCTTGAACTCATATCCGCAATAAACACACCACGGCATCACACACCACGGTATTGTGCGGCTATGGCGCCATAGAGTTTCATACCTATCAGGGTTGGGATGGAAATAGGGGCCGAGATAGAATTCGGGACCACCGCTTGAAGAGCCCATGATGCGACGGGTGGAGGATGGATATACTGGACAAGAATCACAGAGTGCTGAAGATGTGACGAGAGAGCCTGATGCTGGTCGTAGATGTCGAAAGATGTTATCTAAGGGCGAGCTGGCGAGCATCATGGTATTTATACTTGTATTTCAGTAATCAAATCAATACATCACGTAATCCTAGCCTTGCGCCTTCCATAAAGTTGTTCTTGTCTTGCATCGTCCGTAAAGTTGATTGATAAGGTGGACAGCCGAAACGAGCAACTGCTTTTGAGCAATCACCTCCTTAAAAACAATCAGAAGCCTCCCATCAAAATGAATTTCATAAAGGAGCTTGGAAACTCCGACCTCAAATAACAGGGTTGGTTTCATGAATTCCACATCATCTCTAGTTTCCATAGCAGACAGAGGCTGGGAGAGGCGGTGGGATATGCAACGTTTGATCTCACCTGTTTGCTTCAGAGGATGAAGGAGCCTGAAACTAGCTACCCAAACTACAGCCCCTCAACTGAATGGCAAAACAAATAAAACTCCTGGTTGAAAAGCCATTAGGAGCAGTTGCACCTCCTCTCGTTTGTAACGGGGTGATGCAAATTTGTGACCGATAAAGCATAATCAAGAGAACAATCAAACCTCGCAAACCTAAAAACTCGCGTTTGAAACTAAAGGAATGTTTTGCGTTATGAATCCAACTCTTCAAACAGAATGAACTCAGTTTGCAGGTACATTCATTTCGAGCCAGTCTATTTTTATTTCTGTAGATTTCGGTCACAAAGGTATTGAACTATGCTGTCTATATCATCTGCCATAATTATACACGAAGGGGAAAAGAAGCCCACAGTAAACTCTAGGACGCTCTATGTCAATATATAAAACTACAAATGTACAATTTCCTCGCCGTCTTTCTATCCCGTGCTATCCACTGAGATCATCCCCTCTTGGAGCCGGCTTAGAACCGAGAGATGTCTCTTCCAAATATCCATGTAATAGCCCAGTAGACCGGGATCAACAGCTTGTTCCGTATGCTCATGGACTTGGTGAGGTACGCCGTTCGCCATAGTATCCAGGCCGCTTTTCCTTTGAGCTCATCGCTTGCGCTCTGGTGTATGGCTCGCCAGCTGCCCAGGTACGCCATAGTGCCCCAGTTGCGGAACCTGAACGGCTTATTCTCATCGATCCCCTTGTTCAGTTGGCGTCCTAGATAAACTGCCTGCTGCGAGGCTACCTGGGCCGTGTTGGGGAACCCTTCGCCTTCCACGACGCTGCAGTCTCCAATGGCGAAGACGTCGGGGAGGGTGAGCTTCTCTTTGTTCCCGTTGCTGCCGAACTCAGTTTGAACGCGCATATGCTCATCGACGATGATGCCGCCAGTCTTTGGGTCCTTGAGGATCTTGCCGAAACCCTCGATCTCCTGCCCGACTAGCTTCTCGACGAGCGGATTCTGCTTCAGACCTGTGCTCCATACCACGACACCGGCGCCTACTTCCTCCGGCTCCTCTTTGATCTTGAGCATTAGATGATCATCCACTCGTCGGATCCGCTGCAGGTGATGCTCAGTCTTGACTTTGATCCCCTGCCGATGGAACATCTCGATCGCATAATTGGCCAAGTTCTTGTCAAACATGGGGAGCACCTTGGGCGCGATGTCGTAGATGGTGATGCTGACGTACTTCATCAGCGCTGGATACATCTTAGAAAGATCCTCATGCACTAGATCAAAGAGCTCCGCCGCGAACTCGATCCCAGTCGGACCCCCGCCCACGACGGCGAAATGGAGAAGCTTCTTCTTGTCCTCCTCTGGCGTGCTGGGCAGGGCGGCCCCCTCGAACGCTTGCAGCACCTTTAATCTGATCAGTCGGCTGTCCCCCACATCGCGGAGGAAGCAGGCGTGCTCCCTCACGCCCTCGACGCCAAAGGTCTGGCTGTGGCAGCCGACCGCGATGACGAGCTTGTCGTACCCGACCTCGAACTCGTTCCCCGAGGGGATGGGCCCGGCCTCGGACCTTGTGGCGCGGTCGTCGCGGCGACTGGCCTCGAGCCGGATGGTCTTGCGGGCGAAGTCGATGTCGGACGCCCAGGCCTGGTGGTAGTCGGTCAGGCCGAGGCGGCGGACGGGCTCGATGGCGGCGCGGAACTCGATGGTCCCGACCGAGGCGGAGGCGAGGAGGGGGGTGAAGACGAAGTAGGAGCGCGGGGAGATGAGGACGCGGTCCGTCTTGCTGGGGGAGAGGGACCGGGCGAGGGCGTAGCCCGCCCAGCCGCTGCCGAGGATGACGACTCGCTCCTTTTTCTCCTCGCTGGTGCTGGTGTATGCCCTCACCCCTCTTGAGCGGGCTCTCTTTGCCTCGCCATGGCACAAAACAGATCGAGTAATGTATGAAGTGGCTGGGTTGGCGGAGAGAGCTCGCCGAGTGGCCAGAGCGGTCCGAGTACCAAGTTGCAGACACTCAACCATTGTTGTTTTTCAGTAACCTTGAAGATGAGTTTGAAACAAAATATGAGAAGAGGTATTAACCCAGCTTCCTGGCCCCGTGATTTGAACCAAGAGTGTGCTCGTGAAAGTCGTTGCTAGTTGTGGTGATGTGATGTCATTCCAGACTCATGGTGATGGCCTAAGCGGACTCCGGTCTTCCTGCTGCCCGCCCATCCATCCGTCCACCCTTTCCATTCTCCCACGAGGGAGATGGCGGAATAAATCGTTCATTTTTTTTCTCGCCCCCCGTCATCTCGGGCTCATCTAAGATTCCTAGTGCAACAAGGCTTGATGGGACAAGATTGTCGAGGCGGGCATCTCGCCGGGGAGCGGTGACGCACCTGGATCTTGCAGCGAATCGCAGTGCCGAGCGCTAAGCTTGTAGCGATCTAGCAGTGCTGCCGGCCCACTGGAACCGAGCAGCGATCCCCTGTAGGAGGCTCCAGCTCGCGGGAAGTCGGGCTTGTCCCACCTGAAAGGCGCTTCCGATGAACCCGCTTCCGTGTTTTCCCTATGAGTGGGATCTCTCATCTCAGCATCTCACACGAGCCATTGGCGAATCAGAGCTTGTATGTGGCGGTCTGCTGAGCAGGGACATCTTTTCCAACGGTGGGTAATGAACGAGGCTGGTCCGAGTTACCTTGAATTTCTTCTCGTCTGAATGACCGTGATGCACATTAATCGATGTAGCAGTTAACAGTATCTCCCTGTACGCCAGTAGCTCTAGTGGCCTTTTATTTACATTCCCCTCACTGAAGCATAGAATCCAAGCTCTCTCCCAGCACGCCCTCAATCTTGACAATCCATCTATGTGTTTCCCTCTCCACCTCTTCGTCGTCGTCCTCCTGTAGCTCGCTGATCCTGGGCAGCATCTCATGCAGCATGGACAGCCACTCCTCTCCAAGACGGTCTGTGAGTTCCTGCTCGCACAGGACTGCCGCCAGCCGCACTGCCTTCTGCTCTGACTTCAGATGCTGGAGCAGCGCCGAGTTAAGCTCCTTCTGGTGCGCCTGAGAGTCCGCGGCCGCCGCGAGCTCCACCACAGTCGGGACCAGGTCAGCCTCGACGTCAATTAATGGCGCGTGTGTAAACTGCTCCATCAACACCGGGGCCAAGACCCCAAAGTGGGAAGGAGCCTGCCAGAAGTCATCCTGATCGTGCTCGAAGCTCTTGACCAATGTTGCCAGCACACGAGCCCAGAGCTCCTTCTCCTCCTTGACCTTGGGATTCAGTGTCTTCAGTATAGCCACGGCGTCGTCCAGCATGTAGGTGGCGTAGTTGGTCACGATCGACTTGAGGCTCTCAAAGAAGTGCCCGAGGAACCCGTATACGCTGTACTGGCGGAGGACCTTTCCAGTCTTGTCACTCTTTGCCAGCCTAGAGTTGGCCCACTCGATGAACTGTCCAAATACTGGTCTAAAAGAAGCGTCATTGAGCTTGAAGATCATCTTCAGTGCCCTCTCGTTCACACTGCTCTCAATTTGGGCAATCTCATCCAGGACTGCTGGTGCAGCACTTGCATGGTATTTTTGTCGGCGAAGATCAAAGGCCTTCATGAAGATGCCAGCCAGCAATGTTGCATTCTTCGTGATGTTTGTCTTTGAATGCTTGTCGATAGCCAATCCCAGAATGTTGACATTCTCTGCAACAGCCTGTAGATCACAAATATTAGTCACCATCATCCATCATCAAGTGCGGATTGACTCGATGGGGGGGAGTAAATATATCTTACCGTAAAGCCAGCCAGAACAGCGCTGTCCCAGTTCCTATCCACAGCAGCAAAAATATCCTTGGCATCGAGACGCTTTGCAAAGAACTCGAGGCAGTTTGCCCGGCTCTCATCAACCTCGCTTCCGAGGCCAGCCTCCGCAGACATATTCGAAATCAGCAGGATCTTATCTAGGTAAGTCGACAACATGAATGGAAGGTGCTCGGCTAGTGAGCTCAAAAGACCATAGCATGCCGTATGTAGTTCACCGTCAGGTTCATCCCCATTGATGCTGTTCTCGAGGTACTTGACGGCACGTGGGATCGCCAGGGGCAGAACGGGCACAACGGCTTCCTGGAGAACATCAACCAACGACGTCAAGCACAGGAGTGCCATGATGCGTAGACGCTTGTCCTCCTGGCCAAGGCAGTGCTCGCCGGCAATCGTCTGGGCAGCAGCTACCACACCCTCGATGTCCTTCTTGCCATACTTCTCTGCAATCTTGTCGACGCAGGTCACAGCCGTCAGCTTGTACCGTACGTCGTTTGACTCACGGATGGCGGCAGTGAGCTGGGGCAAGAATGCCAACAGAGCAGCTCTAGAGGATGGTTCTGTGTTGCTCTCCTTTTCTACTCTTCCTTCCAAGGCACGCAGGACCTTGTGGCGGAGACCCAAGTTGTCGCGGCCGAGTAGGTTCTCCACGATCTTGATGAACTCACTGATCGAAAGCAGGTTGAGCAGATTCGACAATGCGGCGCCGCATTTGGAGTGGAGCACCTTCTTCGTCTTGACAGTATCTGACAAAATCAGAATCTCCTCCATGAGACTTCCGTACAGCCTGCGCACCTCGGTGGCCTCCATATCATCTGTTTGGACTTGATCGACAATCTCGGCCTTCAGTTTCTTGCTTGATAGGAAACTTGGGAATGCTGTTAATTGCCTGAGCGCAATCTGCTCTACATCCTTTTGATCACCTTCGTCTCCAGCTCCCAGCAGAGCAAACGACATGTCAGGCTTGGGCTTGAAGAGGTCCGAAATTAGATCCAGAACCTTTAAGAAAGTCTGGAGCTGCACCTCCACCTTGAAGCTAGTTACAAGGTCAACGATAAACTGAATGAGGGCATCGCTGGGTCCGTATCTGTCCACAAGCATGCTGATAAGAGCATAGAGGAACTCGGATGGACCGAGGGTTTCGACCAGGGCCAAGAACAGATCCTTTCTCCGGTGGGCTGGAATGTGCTCATATGCTGTAGTGAAGCTGACGAGAATCTCTGAGGCTCCTGCAACAGGATTCTTCTTGCCCTGGCGCAAGGAAGCAATGAGGGGTGGAACAACCTCCTTTACAGTTTGAGAAACAACATGGGTTGAGTAGTCATCGCTCTGCCGTAAGACCGAGGTGCCCATGAAGGTGAAGATAGGCATGACGCTGTGGAGCACTAAGCTTGGAGCCGTAGTGGCGAGTTTGGCAATCAATAACAGTGCCGCGTTTTGAACGACTGGGCTGGACGATTTCTGGATGCAGTTAACGAGAAGATCGCCGTATCCGCCAGAGGTGGCAATCTTGAGGCTCTTGTCATTCTTGTAGGCGGGCATCATCGCCAGCAAGCTCCGCAGGATCAACGTTTGCAAATATCCGAGTTCCGATCCAACGACAGTCCTAAAGTGCTGAAGCTCGGAGAGCGCTGTGAAGAGCCCATCCAGAAGTTCGGGGTGGGAGACGGGTTCTGAGTTTTCGACAAGCTGCAGCACAAATGTCACGCGTCGAAGAGCCTGGCTTAGTTCAGGGCTGGCCTGAGTGACAAGACCACGGTTGCCATCGGTTGAGCTGGTTCGTCGTCGCTTGTTGGGTGGGGGCTCTGTGATCATCTTAGTTCCAGTCTTGATCGAGTCAAGGAAGAACATCAGAATATCGGTTGTCAGGTTCACGCTTCGGAGAAGATCTGCTGCTTCTGCCGAAACCAACGCTTGAGCGTCGTCACTGGAAGCGGCCTCCTGAGAAATGTCCAAAAGTCGCTCCGCAACCATGAATTTGACGTCGTCCTTCAATGCTGGCCAGATCTTGCGGATGCGGGCAAAAATGGCCAGCACTAGGCCATTTCTTTGCCTCTTCTCAGTATCGCTCAGAATTTCCAGCAGGAACTCCAAGCCAGCCGAATCGCTGGCCCCGACAACCTCGACGAAACGAGCATCAATGACTGTGCTTTCCAGATGCTCGGCCGCACATCGACCCTCAGCATCGTCTTTCTTGAGCTCTGACCACCATTTTAGTGCAGGTAGCAAGACTTGTGTGCGTGAGGTGTTCGATGCAGCTTTGACCTGGTTGAGAGACTTAATGAGCCTATCCTTCACCAAGAGGAAGGGGGATGAGACTGCATGGCCGGCGTAGAAAGACAAGATCGCTGATCTTCCTGACTGAGACATGTGATCTTTCTTTTCCAGAGCTGCCCCTTGGGTCTTCTGGTATTTCCCTGTCTCAATTGAAGATGCAACGAGGGCAGATATATGCGATGCGTCCATCACACATTCCTCCATTGAGGGAAGAAGCTGCAAATGCAATGTCTTTGCTGCCACATCAGGGCTGAGAGCAGATACGGTACCGGACTTCCCATACAGTGAACCTGAACCCCAAGTGCTCAGATCTTTGACTGAACCCAGAGAAGAATAAGTCAAAGCTAGTGCAGCTAGCAATCCAGCCGCGGCTTGACGAACTCGCTTTGAAGGATCCCCTAGTGCGATAACACAGTAAGGGATGAGTGCTTGGACGTCGGTTTTGATGCTTTCCTCAGCCTTGAGCCTATTCTTCACCATTTCAAGCGCAGCCACCCTAGCAAGAGCAGGATAGGGCCCGCACCAAATACGGATGAAGAAACTAAAAAATGTGCAATCCTTCAAAGCCGTGTTGCGGTTCAGCGTTGGGATATTCTCGAACTTGGCCAACAACGCAGACTTCTCGGCCGTCTCTGACACGATTGAAAAGAACAGATGGCTAAATTCGTCGAAAATCTCCTTGGGTTGTGGAGCTAGGCAATGTGAAAGGCTTCCTTTGCGGGCAGCAAGTTCGTCGATTGCGGCATCCAAATCCTTCTTGGCTGGCACGACTGCAATGCTATCGGACATGTCAACGTCTCCCTGGGCTGCCTCTGGCAGTTTCCGAGATCTGAATGAGAGGTCAAGCTTCATCTCCAGTTCTTCAATATCAAAGTCGACGTCGCGGATAACTGATGAGATGATGTCACCAGATGGCCCGGTTGTTTGAGAGAGTGAGATCAAAGCGGAGCCGAGATCTCGTCGCAAGCCACCATCTTCGTCGTTCGAGTCGTCCAGCTTAAGTGCGGTCAAAAGTAACGATTTGAAAATCACTGCGACTTGCTTCTCCTTAAGAATCGAGCTGTCTAGTATTGCCATGATCGTAGGAAGGCCTCGAGAATCCCCCTTCTTGGTAAAGCGCTCGATAAGAGCTAAGCATAAACCGTTCGCCAGCTTATCAACTCGTCGTTCCTGGCCAATTTCAACCAGCAGAGGGCCGATCTCAGGCACCTTGAGGAGGGCCCTAGTAACCTTGTTGCTGGTTTGCTTTGCGGATCGCTGTTGCGCCATAATCGTCAGGCACACGAGGCCTGGGCGGATCGTGTCCGAGGTCCACCCGTATACTGTCTGCTCCATGAATGCGGTCACGGCGATGTCCTCCAACCCGCCTTTGGACACGAAAACAGCCAGAGCCATATATGAGGCGATTTGCAGAGTCGGGACCTTCTTCATAACTAGCGACTCGGCGAAGATGGGCCCTAGCCTGTGCAGCAAAGCCTGCTCATTATCCTTCTGGACCGCAGCGCGACCGGACTTGGCCTTATCGACGATTCCGCTAACGGCCTCAGTCATAAGACCACCCCAGAATGAGATGAGAGCCGGGTGCTGGAAGTTCATGCGGCATGATTCAAGGGTATATTCCGAAACAATTGACAAGAAATCAGGATGGTGGATAGCCTGGTGGACAAAGACCGATCGTGGCGGGGGGGTAAGTGATCGAATGTAAGGGTCGAGAAAGCGGAACTCTTGCGGGATCTTTGATGGCAAGATAGACAGCAGCGTTGTGAAGGCCGGGATAGAGTGGAAGGGGAGGAAGGTTTTGAGAAGCGATGATGTATTATCCTCGTGAATTCTAGTATCAAGGTTAGCAGACAGGTTGCAGGAGGCACGTATCGCATGTTCGAAGTCTTGAAATTACCGGAATCGTCTTATCAGCCATTCAATCGCCTTGATTGCCGGCATAAGCCTCAACCGGCTCCCGGCGAGCCGCAAGAAAGCATCAACTTGCCGATCCAGCTCCTCATTCTCGCTGGCCGTCAGTTGGGTGCGGTCCTGGCCCTGACTCTCCTCTCCAAAGATGGTCGATTGAAAGCGCACAAAACGACTATCGAGCTGGCAAAGCTCCTCGAAGCCTGGGAAGCATGTCGCATACAAGGTCTGGTAACTTTGGGTGGCGGCGACTCGGCGATCCCAAATAAGAGACTGGGAGTGGGCGGCTCTCTGGGCTTTGAGGTTGAGGGTTGATTTGGAGTTGGCGGCAACCTGCGCCAACTGCGCAGCGAGCGAGGTTGCCATGTCTGTCGACTTGAAGCACCTTGAGAGCTAGGCGCACGATCAATGGCTACGTCCTCGTCCGTTGCTGGTGTTGAATATAATCAAGGATTGAAGAAAGCACGGCTAACCTTGGCATAGTACGGGAAATTTTTTGTCTGCACCTTCAACCCAGAAAAAAAAAGCTGGGAGTCTGTTATCGATAAGGATTCGGCCAGCCGACGGTCTTCTTGAGAAAGTGGGGCTTCGCATCCCACCCTGGCTTCTTGCCAATGACATGGGACTTTGATACCAAAGTTATTAGGCAGTATTTGTCCAGCACTCTTTGGTTGATAATAGTAATCGAAGGGGGAAATTGTCGAGCATTGTGTTTCCTGGATTTTAACATCTCTTTGTTTATTGTTTCTATCAATAGTTCTGAAATGATGTTCGATCTTCATGCAGGTCTAACGTATCATGAAAGGAAGGTTCCCACCCGGTGGCCTCAGGAACAGTATTGCGAAATGGGAGAGACGGGAAGACGCAATTGGTGGCCGGGTATCTAGCGTAGCACCGTTAATATGCAAGATTGAGTCCAGCCACCAACCTGCACTTTGGGGTAACAAAGAGGGGTTCTGGCGTCGCCCATGCAGACCTGAGGCTATTTAAGATTCACCTATTTACACGTTTAACCAATCTCCCCCATTTCCTCCTTGCGACGCAAGCACATCGCATATTAATCATGGCTGTAAGTTGCACCCTCTCCGCTCAGCAGCTCACTCCACCCTCCATTCACTGATGCTCAATAACGAATCCACCACAGGCCAGTTATCCGCAGTTCGTTCTGCTGGGAGATTCACTCTTCGAACATGCTATACCAATAACCCAGGGCTTCTCGCTCCAGGCAAAACTTGGTGGTTGTACGTTCCGCATTCATAACCCATACTTGCTTTCTATTCTCTTTCGCTATGGCGTGATGATCTGACTTGACACTCTAAGTGTGCGCCAGAAGAATCGATGTCATAAATAGAGGATTTTCTGGTTGGTCGTCCAGACATCTTGTGCAGAACCTGGACCAAATCTTTCCAGCACCTGTTATCGGTGCACCCAAAATAAAATACCTGGTATGTTAGGATGACCTGTGCAGACAAATCGGCTGCCAGCGGTACTAACAACGTCGCCCGCAACAGGCCATCCTTATCGGTGCCAACGATGCTGTGTTACCATGGTCTCCCACCAAACAGCATGTTCCATTGGAAGAGTACAAGGAGAACCTGGGCAAGATCATCAATCACCCCAGCATCAAGGCCCAGCAGCCAAAGATTTTCCTGATCACCCCCCCTCCCATTGACCAAATCAAGCACCATCGGCTAGACACCGAGGCTGGTCTCAAGTCGGCCTTGAGGGAGTCTGCTATCAGTGCCTCATACTCTGAGAAGGCCCGCGAGGTAGCTCGGGAGAACCCGAATGTCGAACTGGTTGACCTATGGCAAGCTATTATGGACAGAGCTATTTCGCAGGCACCAAACGATTACCAGCCCGGTGGTCCCTTACTTGGCACGTTAGAGAATGGGAAGCCGGGTGGGTTGGATACCCTTCTCCCAGATGGGCTTCACCTGGGCGGCGAGGCTTATGAAATTCTCTATGATTTGCTGCGGCCATACATTGAGGCGGATTTGGAAGAGAAGCCCGTTTTTCCCCTCTGGCGGGAACTGACCGGTTCTGAGATCTGATGGCCGAGCGTCTGATCACCAATGTACACAGTGCACAAGCATGCTAGAACCTTATTGGATAGACCTGATAGACCCGTCTAGAGGTAGAGAGGTAGAGAGGTAGCTGACAGAATAAGAGGTGGCTTTTCTTGCACATAGCGTCGTGATATGGAAATTTTGAGTGTTGAATATCGATGGAGGACGCAGACCATCCAGGCCAGCTTCGAATCTGCATTCACAATCTACCTTTATTCATATGAGACTCGTAGCTGAGCTGCGCTAGTGATGCGCAAAGGATATTGACAAGGACAAGCCGAGGAAAGAACCACACGAAGCATGGTACATCATTTGCCGGAGCTTGGAAAGGGCAACAACTTGAACATCAATTGTTCCAGCGTTTACTTGGGAGGGGCGTGGAGGGTACAAGCAAGTACCTGTCTGTCGCTGTCCGCAGGCTGGTACGTCATGGAGCAGGTCAAAGGCTCGGTGCTAACGCCCAAACTTGGCGCCCCCAGGCACCAGCAGTCGTGCTGCACCCCTAACGTGATCAGCCTTCAGACTCACAGGACGGGGTATCACACCCCTGAGGCGTGCTAGGGGGGAAGTCCTTCTTCCTTCCGGCCCAGCCTAGGATTGACCACGGCCGTGTACTGCTTTGTACATGCACGCCAAGCAGCCACTAAGAGGCTCCTGTCTCTGATGGTGGGTACCTACAGTAGGGATGCACCTTCTACCTGGTAGTACCACCTCCACCATGTAATACGTGCTACTGCGACGGCCGTCCATCTTCCACCTGCTGCCTTCCGACTTACCTTCATATCAACCCTCCTCGCTCCGTCTTGTTCAATTGATTCCAGAACCGACCTCTCGCAGCGCCCTCCCTTGCTATTACTCGACTCTTTTCCTCCTGGATGTGTCCACTTGCAGATCACTCCTCGTCGCTAGCCAAACGTGAAATCCAACACAGTTACCCACCAAGCCGCCCACCAAAGCTCTCTATCATCCCTTTGTCCAACTGGCCTTAACGACCACCGTCACATCCCGCCGAGCCTGTCTAAAGGTTGCAAAGACTCTATCAACCCTTTTCGCACCGACGCCGACGTATATTCCCTCATAGACAAGGATTTCTTCGGCCCCGATCTATTCCTCGAGCCGTCGCGAATTATCGACCACTCCGATCCAGCGCTTCCCCTTGAATCAGTCCCTACCATTATCCAACCCCTCATACGAAATATACACCCAGTATAGCTACACACGAAATCGGTGACGAATTAAGACCTGTAAAGTACCAGGCGATTCAATTTCAATCTCCTCAATAGAAATAATTTCACCAATCTATCGGAGGCTTGACACAACAAGAGTTCTCCGGTCCGCCCTTGCCAAGTGGCCTCTCGGTCCTTGCTCGGCGATGCGATAAGGGGTTACGCAGACCCGATGAATTGATCCCCCCGACAATTTGAGGTTTGAGGTCGGAGGAAGGCTGAGCGGACTGCCTGTGGCTTTGTGACGGCGATCCAAGTACTCTACAACTCCATGGGTTGAGTATTCGTTCAGTCTGTCGAGCATCTAAAGGATCGTTGTTAGCATAAAGGCCCTATCTTTCTCGTCCACACATCACCACTCGCCCTCAACACACTTCGTTGACACTTAGATTCTGGTCGTCACGCGACCAAGTCTCTCAGCTGCATCATATCCTGTTCCCAGTCCGTGCTGTACCACCACTCTGGGCATGGATCCACACTTCGTTGTCACACGAGAAGATCTGTATAATTTACAGATGGAAGTGAAGCAGGTTCAGTACGCTCAAGCCAACCATGCGGATCGAATCACGAAACTGGAAAAGCGTCAAGCAGACGACGCCGCCCTCAAGTCAGTTTGGAACTCCCCCTTTCCGGGGGTCCTCAGTGGAACGCCCCAGCATGGTATGGAATTTCATCTCGACCCCGCTGTTCGGCCAATTTAGCTAATAGAATAGGCCCCGTTTCACAGGAAGACCTCTTTGATGACTTGGATGAACAGGGGGAGCAGCTTCTCAACTCTTTGCACCTAGGTCCTGCAGAAGAGGAGCCAACTCGGCGGGGGGCTGCTTCAAGGGCTAACAGTGTTCGATTCGATGAGAGTGCGCTACATGGATCAAGCTGGGCTGGGCACAACAATCGTCACTCGGGAGACTTTGGACCAGCGCGACCGGCCAGCAGCCTGATGATGGAACGATCTCTCTCCCATAAATCCGACGGTAGACACAGTTCAGCAGGACATTCGGTTCATTCACACCATTCAGTGGCGTCTGGGCGAGCGAGCAGCCTAGGCCTTGATACAACCTTCGCTGTAGAAGATGATGACGACTCCTCCCTGAGTATACTCGAGCCACCAACTTCGTTGTTCGTTCTCGGAAGTGTGCCGTCCATTGTGCGCTGCTGGCTGACAACAAACTTCGCGCATAATTCGCTTCTGTATGCTGATGTTTGCACTGGTTCACAAAAGTCCACGGTTGATTTCTCGTTGATCAAAGAGCTCGGCCTTGCTGATGAAGTTCAGCGAGATATGGATGGCACCTACCGGGCCCGGTTGAACGTTTATTTCGCGGAAGCCACAATTCTCCATCATAGTCGATCAGCTAACCCCGAACGTCCTGTTCCCTCCATGACCGTCGCGTTTGAGGTAGTCGGGATGGATATGAATGATCAGTTGAGAGACGGCCAAGGCATTCGCATTTACGTCGGAAGTGATGCATTAAGACTCCACTCGGCTGATATTCTGTTCTCCCAGAACACAATGCTCTTGTATGGGAGTGACAGGTCTCGCTTGCGAGTGCCGTTTGTGAGACCAGAGGATGATGCTGTTTTCAAGCACATATGTACCGCAAACCTCATTCCCGGCAAGCCAAGGCTGAACGCGAACGCGGCGCCATTCGTACTGGGCGATCTCTCCTCAGAAAACAACCGCGTCGAGTATATCCGCCCAACAAGTCCACAGCATCACGGGGACGACGATGTCAGCCGGCCCAACTCCCCTCTAGGTGCCATGTCCGAAAGCACCAAGGATCTGGGACCAAGCAGCGCCTCCGAAGCTGGCTTGGAGAGTGATAAGTCTGTGAAAGCTAGGACTGACGGAGAATCGAGTATCAAAGAAGGTTCAATCACGTCTGAGTCGAGCCGGAAGGAACCACCAAGCGGCATCTGGGGACCGTGGCGTCAAGGAGGGACCAATGGGGCAGACGGCTCACCTAGGGAAACTGGACCTTTGAGCGGATATCAACCGGCAGCTCGCCCAAGTCGTAACATGAAGGTTCTTAAGCCACAGAAATCAACCTCGGCTAGGACTGGTTCCTCGTACGAACCAGCACCATCAACAACGAGAGAAGGTGGAGAAGGACGCCGCAAGAGTCAGGCCGGTCTTGGGGAATCGATATCAAATGGTAATATTCGTTGGGACGCGAAAAGAGCCGTGAGTTACGGGCCCGAAGCGAAATCTTCGTCGCACAACACTAGTCGTGAGGCTCGCAACTCACAGACCCTTCCAAAGGTAGCGAACCCAGTCGGCGGGGCGTCCGCTTTTTCATGGATGGCTCCTCCTCCTAAACCGAAGGTTTGATAGGTAGCAGCGAGGGTCTCCTGTATCTTACCTTGTTGCCCCTGTACAGGAACAGTAGCTAGAAGTAGTCACTGCACTATGTGCATGATGAATAAAAGAGAAAAAGATGAGAGAAGAAGACAAAAAAAAAATAGAAAATGTTTTTTATCATATACACTACTCCCGAGTACCGATTCGTGATCAGATAAACGTGTGAATGTGGACATGTGATAGATACAAAACGTATATGTTCGAGGATTTCAAGGTGTAGATCTGCGGCGTATCGACGAATTAAATGTAGTGTGGGCAGGATGAGAAGTCTCGGCAGAAGATTGCGGCCTGTATAATATGCAGGGTCTACTATTAATTCAAAACGGGCCATGTCCATCCAACCTGGTCCAATGGAAATCCTCGCACTCTAATCTAAGAGGAAAAGAAAGCAGAAACCCCTCCCCCCCTCTGAGACTAAATCTTCGGGGGCAGCGCGCCGAGGACGGTCTTGGTGTCCGCTAGGGATGTCTTGACGACGCCGAGGAGGCTCTTGAAGCCCGGGTGGGCAGCGTCGCCGACGGTCTCGTACATCCAGCTCTCACTGGTAGTCACGGTGATGCCGGCTTCGGCGCGGAGGCGGTCGAGGGCGACGGTGACCTCGGCCGGGTTGGCGCTGCTGACGGCGTCGGCGATGACGTAGACGCGGTGTCCCGCGTCGCGGAGGTCGAGGGCAGTCTGGGTGATGCAGATGTGGCTCTCGATCCCCACGAGGGCGACGGAGGAGGCGGGCGCGAGCTGGGCGGCGATGGGGGGGATGTACATGGAGAACTTGGTCTTGTCGTGGGCCGGGGAGGGGAGGAGGCCGGCCAGCTCAGCGACGGTCGGGCCGAGCTTGGCGACCGTCTGGGTGGTGGTGTGGACGGGGATGGAGAAGTTGTTGGCGAAGACGAGGAGCTTCTTGGTGGTGAGGACGCTGTTTGTGGGAAGCGGCGGAGAGGTTGGTTAGTTTATCTGGTCTTGCCCTTTTCCCGTAGCTCATGATTATGAATAAAAAAGTGAGACAAGAGAAGAAAGCATACATTTTATCGAATTCGTGGATCGCTGTTTGGAACTTCTCTTGGATGTCGCAAACACTGTAAAGAAATGGCCGTTAGCTTTGGTTTTGCGCCCATTTCATCTCATCTCATCTCATTTCATCCAGTTCCGTCCCATGTGCCGTCGCAAGCACGAGGATGCGGCTGATGACGTAGGATCGCTTCTGTGTCTGAGATTGGCCCAGAGCTGGCTCTCTCTTAGGGGTATGGGTTTTCGTTTGCCCATCCCGAATTCCCCTCTTTCTGGGTCTCCTCTTGGAATTGACTCATCGGGCCCTGATTATCCTCACTCACAAAAGATTGGGGTTTTCTATGCGGGAAAGTATTAGCCATTCTGCGCTCTATTCGCTTTACGGCCCGTCGCTATCCCCAAAGACTTACTGAGCCGCAGGCCCTGATCACCATTCACAGCCATCGTATAGGCGCGTTGGTGAAAGTGCGGTCGAGCGGAAGGGGTAGACTGCGCTGCGGTTCTGGTGAAGATGGGGAGCAGCTGGTGCTGCAGTCGACGACGTCCACACTGCCACGGGATGGCCTTATAGGTTGCTGTTGGCAGGGCAAAAAGGGACATACCCGACGGCAACAATAACAATAATAATAACTAATGCGGATTGACGAGGAAGGGAGGAAGTGAAAACGTCTCGTTCCCGGGTGCCCGGTCTGGCGATGGACTCGTTGTCTACGACAAAAAGGAGGGGACGGCTGGGAATGAGGTTCTAAGACAAGCACATTTAAAGGTCAGTTGGGCCAGGGTCAAGCCCACAGGGGCCCCAGCTAGGCGGGCTGTAGTGGCATTTAGTGAGGGGAGATCCGGCATTTGGGGTCCAATGAGGGCTGCTGTGAGTCGCGAGCGCGACCGGGTAGATGGATTGGGACGGCGATCACTTTGTGAAATATGAACATGAGACCGTCTAGGGTAGTTCATCCTACCCGAGGCTCACGCTGCCATCGCACTCCTCAAGGCGGACTGTGGTATCTCCTACATTACTATTATATATTATTGCAAGTAAACCTAATGCGTGTACGCAATCCCGAGCGAGAATCCGTTTGATTTTCACGGGTATAGTAACACCTAGCCCATTGTGCTAGGCCATTCCGCACTCGCCTCTTCAGTGACCGAATAGACTTGATGACTGTGATAAGTGCTGCACCACGTTAGCGATACTGAGCAACAAGTTCTTTGCGAGCTGTTGGTAGAAATACTCAAGAAATTTACTTGGCCTTCCGGTTTGGCTGCCCACCATATCAGGTGTAAGCATCCATGAATGGGCCAAAGCCTCAGCCGCAGAAGGTCTCTCTGCAGCCGCTGGTGACAATAGCTTCCCTAGCAACTCTAAGCAAATTTCACTGGCACCAACGCGCGTAAGAGGTAGGCGAGGGAACTTTGCCTTTCCACCCGCGTAGTTTTGCAGACTTCCAGGTTCCGAAAAGACCAACTGAGTCGTGAGCAACTGATATGCAATCACTCCAGTCGACCAAAGATCAACTGCGTTGGTGTAAGAGTCTCTCTGTCCAGCGGTGCTGTTACCGCCTGGGCTGAGATGTCGAGGCCGATGTTGCATGCTTCGAACTTCTGGGGCAAGATAGGCGGGTGTGCCAATGACTGTACACAACGGCGAAGACTCCTCTGCTCTTTTTGATATCCCGAAATCTGTAATCTTCACCCACCATTGAGGAGATGTCTCCACCACCAATATGTTCTAGCACCAAATCATCAGCCGCTGCTATTCCCACTGAACAAGGAGCGTAATTTCATCCTTACCGCTGGTTTGAGATCTCGATGTGTAAATCCATTGTCGTGCATCAACGACAAACCCTCGAGGATCTGTGAGATGATGTCCTTCACTTCTCTCTCGGGGAGAGGCCTCTTCATGAATTGCTGCAGGTCACCCATTTCATGATAGTCCATTGGTATGAAAATGCTGTATTCGTCCTCATACCAACCCGTCGACTGGACAAAGAATGCCGAATACTGAAATTCATTAATCGCATGCACCACTTTTTGGCAGAAGACGAAACTCACCCTCTCATGAGAAAACTTGGCAATGGCTTCAAGTTCTCTTGTATAGTCAACGGCATGTGTAGCGTCTGGCTGCTTTGCAATCTCCTTTACAGCCCGAAGCTGCCCCAAACTCCCACCCTCGACACATCTCTCAAGCCAAATGCTTCCGAAACCACCAGCCCCAATTCTTTTACTTCTCTTCCACCTCACTTCCGTTTTTACTCGGCGCTGTCGGCTGGCGAGATTGGTAATGAAGGAAACGTGACAGACCGTTCGGCTGTTCAGGTCAAAGGTCGTATCAAGCCTTGAATCACGTACTAAGTCCGGGAGATGGTGGCGACGAGGACTCGGGGATAGTCGTCGACTTTCTGAACTGGGCGCTGGACTGGCGACCGGGTTCCTTGGTTGACGATCTGCTTGAGCCTTGAGCCTCAGCTCAAAGGTATCTTTCCTATTTTTGAACTGCTTGGCCATATCGTCGGGGGTTACCGCCTTCACATTCTGGTTACTGTCATTGATGCTTCTGGCTTGGGAGTCGCTTGGTTTATCGATTAGGGAATTTCGAGATCGCTCTTTATGCAACCGCGGTTGTGAGGGCTTGGGAGACAGCCGCGGAGACGGGTTGGCGCTCTCAACAGCTCCAGACTGAGGAACGCCTGGTTTAGCAAGAAGGGAATTTTGAGACCGTTCTCGATGCAGCCGTGGCTGAGAGGGCTTAGGCGATAGTCGCCGAGATGGGTTGCCGTTCTCGGCAGCCCCGGAACGAGAATCGACTGGCTTATCAAGAAGGGAATTTCGAGACTGCTTTCGGCCCAGTTCTGCTTTTGAGGGCTTGGGAGATAGCTGAGGACCTATGGTGCCGAAACTGATACCAGAGTCTGTAGTCGATGGCGATTTTGGCGGCCAAGGGGGCGGAAGCTTGCGCCGACCGGGCAGAGTAGGACCTGACAGGCTTATGGTAGATTCGGATGGCCCCGGTGACGGCTTCTGCGGTAAAGATCGTGTTGTAGGCTCCTCCACAACGACGGCTGGGATCATAGTGATCGAGCTAGTTGTTGCGGCGACTGTATTCGAAGTCTCTTCTTTTGTCCAGTCCGCAGTAACCACTCTCTTCATTCTCGCCTTCCACTCAATCCCCCCATTCTCCCTCTCCAGTCTTGATGGATCACGCAGAATGTCCGCCAGCTCCTGGCCGTAGGAATGCAGACGAGCTAACTCGTGTGCATCGCCAGTTTTGCCCACGCCAGGCTTGATTTCGCCAAGTTCTTCAATAAGAGTGATATTGTCTCGGCCCCAGTCAACCATCCTGGCGGCACCCAGGTGGAAGCAGAAGTCGAGTGCTTGAAGATGCTTGAATGTTATATGGGCCGGTTTCTGGGGCCATTCCTTCAGGCGATCATGGAACGAGAAGCATATTTCGTCCAAATATGCCTCTCTAAATCAAGGCTCCATCGTCAGTCTAAGAGTTGCTGGGTTCTCGGTGGTGCCGCTTCGAAGAGGATGGGGAAAGGTGGGATGAGAGTGAGCATGAATAGACAGAGATTGACGTACGACTTAAATGTGAAGGAGCATATCTTCTGGAAGGAAGCCCAGTCGGGTGGCTTATCAGGCGCACCTGTCGTCACTCCTGCCAAGTTGAAACCGGCGCGGAAAGCACGGAAGAGGGTTCCCATTTTCCTTCAATCTGAGAACAGCGGCGGTGGCTTGAGAGGGAGAGAAGAGAGTGAGGGGTGGGAGGGAAGGAGGGGTATTAATAAGGCAGACCTGAATTGCAGTGCTGTCTTAAGCTGATGATGAGCTTTGTGTCAGCCTAAGACCTGACAGGGAGCACTGTCTATAGTCCATCCATCTATCGCGAATGCTAACCAAGGGCGGTGAGCTGTCCTTTTGCTTTTCCATCTTGCTATTCTTTTCCCCTTGCTCCATTACAAATATTTCTTAATCTCGCCCCTGGGGTAATTACTCCTTCATTCTCGAGGGTCATGGCGCCTGGGCCGAGATGTGCGATGAGGGTCTAGACAGCATGGCTGCATCAATAGCGCAGCACATTTGTTCAAATATCAGCTAGTGCCACCCCCAACGCAGATCGAGATCAGGGGTCCCGTGGCGAAACGCGGGATATCTGACTAGAAATGGTTTCCTTCAGCCCCAGCTGAGGCACCACACAGCGCCTACCGCTTTTGCATTGGTTGGCAGTATCCGTCTTCGTGGTATCCATCGATACCATGTCTCTGAGCGTTGTGGTGGGTAGTAGTCACCGGCCAAGTCACGAAACCGAGATGCCGGTTAGCTGCATGAAACCAAAAATAAATGATATAAATTATCCATATACATTTTTGAACTCCAAATATATAAAACTAAAAGGTCCAAAAATCGACATATGCGTCCACCGTGTAACGCCGTTATGCATGCTGTCCGTAGCTTCTATCTATATTAACTCTACTCTCCCCTCCAGAGCAAAAACAACAAGTCTATTGGTATCATGCCGTGACCTCTGAGAACCAAGTACGTAGCAATCCAGCCAGCGCACTGGGCAACTCCTCCAGGTGATGCACAATCAGATAGTACTGGAACGGGAATGTATCCAGGTACCGCTCAATCACAACCCGGCTCTCGCCTCCCTCCTTGACGAATTTGGCTTCTTTGAGCTCCAGTACACTGTCTCCCTTCTTCTTCCCCGTGTCGTCCATGATGATGAACACAATCATGATGCGCTCCTCGATTGCCTCTCGGAGCAGCCGTCGGATGCTGTCGTGCGCAGACGAAGGCGTGAGACCGTCGGATAGGATTAGTGAGAGCTGCCACAGGTCAGAGTTGCCACCTGACTGGCGCGCAGCTCGGAACTTGTCAATCGTCTGCCGGATCAAGAGCGCAATGTCGGTACGGTCCTGAGAAAAGGTGAAGTTTTGCAGGACCTTGGCCCCAGCATCGGCCGCAAAGGGGTCCGTCAGCTCGTGCGCCGTGAACACTTCCCCGCCGAATCCCACCACACCGACCTGCCCGGCCTCCAGCATTGTGAGCGAGCGCGAGACCATGACGAGTGACTCCATGGCCAAGGTTCCCGATGCTGTCTCTCCCATGCTCTTGCTGTCGTCAACGCACAGCAAGATCTGATATGTTCGCTTGGTAGGAACGCTGCGTCTCATCCAGATCTTGTCTCTCTTGTAGCTCGAGGCTATGTACGGGATGATGCGCTTGATATTGAGTCGCTTTCCGGTACGGAAGGACCCTGAGAGTTTGGTCGACTGAGAAGGCGTGAGGATGAGGCGGAGCTGGGAGGTAAGAGAAAGCGACAAAGCATGGGTTTTGCTCTGGAAGTCGACCCATTGCTGCATACACTCTCCGAAATCTCGTAGATCTCTCTGACCGTCCGAGATATGTGTTGTTGATAGCTGAGTAGACGTTTCTTCCATCATCTCATCTTCATTCTCCGCTAGTTTCTGCTCTTCCTCCTCGACCGGGGTCTGCTCTCGATTGAAATTTCCTTGCCGGGTCTTGACTCCCGAGCGCGTGTCCTCTTGATCCGTAGTCTTATTGTCCTGTGGACCGGCTTGCTCATCCTGTTCAAT